GGCGCGTGAACCGATGCTAAGAAAGGTAGATGTGTTACCCGTGCTTCTTGCCACTTCAACCTCGCGTGAGCACAACACATTACACGATCTAGTCTTTTCGCCACAAAAGTATCCTCTGCTCTTCCCCTCTTCCAAGTGAATTTATTTCCAGTAAACCCCATATCAATCAAGGACAGATTATTAATCCACTCTCCAAACTCCAATGAATCTTGAGATAATCTTCCATTGCCTCCTGATCTCTCATCCACTCTAACAATCGTGTTGAAGTCTCCACCGATAATCAACGGCCCCTCTAACCCCAACACCACTCGGCTCAAACTCTCCCACAGCCCACTTCTACGAGTCGCTGATGGAGCTGCGTAAACAACAACAATATTCAACACCTCTGTTTCGTTTTGCAACTTCGCCGCAATGAATTGCTCCGTGGATTCTATAATGCTCATTTCACCAATACCCGAGCGCCATAGAAGCCAAATTCCTCCACTTTGTCTAACCGCATCAACTCTAAAGACATTCTCAAAACCAAGGCCCTGACAAATTCTTCCTGCTCTATCCCCTCCCGCATGTGTCTCAAACAGAGCCAACACATCAATGTTTTTTTTTTTTCAGCATATAGCGAATTGCTCTCCTGAAATTAGGTTTGTTCGCCCCCCGGTAGTTCCACAATAAACAATCCATTAAAAAATGTTGGTATCTTCTCCAAACTGCCGGGGCAACTCGTTATGCCCTCTCCGATCTTCCTCCATCTGCTGCATTTTTCTGCAGCTCGCCATCATTCATCTCCATACTAGTCTCTGAAGTCCGGTGAAGCTGTTCAGTGTCTTGCGTGTCCAAGGCCGAACCCCTCTCCATCGGCTGAACCGCACGATCACTGAAAACCACTCCTCCTTGTCTTCCTGGACTCACTGTTTCAACCCGTAATCTTTTTCCATTAGCAATTAAAACTTCTTCTCCTTTCCTTGGGCCAAAAACCAGCCCACGTGAAGGTTTCTTCACAACCCATTGCTTTTGTGTTGGCCCATTAGCATCTGTTCCCTTAGGCCCACCTCCTCTCCTAGCCTTAGGGACATAACGACCCTCGTTTTTATTTGTTTTCTCTGTTGGCAAATTGACATTTCCCTCCTTAACTTGCAGGATACGCCCTTCCATATCCGATCGAGCCAGGACACTTTCATTCTCCTTATTCGATCCGCTAGACATGGCAACTTCCCTTAAATCACGAGATACAGAATTATCTTCCAACCTTCCAAATCTGTTTGATATCTCCAATCCCCGATTTCCCGTGATTTCCCGGAGATTTCTCCCTACATTCCCGTTAGATGTCCCTGCCGCAAACACCATATTGTTCACCGGTGGTTCCTGCCGTCTTCCTCCTCTTCTGACCACCGTGAACCCATCATCTTAACTTGCTTGAACCGCAATTTCCTTTCCTTTACTCGATTGTGCTGGTACCAAATCTCTATCCGCAACAGCCTTGGGACACCCATGAACTAGATGACCATACATTCCACATTGAGAACATATTTTCAGTAGTCCCTCATAAGCAACATAGTACCTTTCTCCATTAATTAACACTGACCCCTTAAGAGGCTTCGCTAGATTCACCTCCACGCACACTCTAGCAAAACGAGCTCTTTCAAAGTTCAACGTCGTTAAATCCACCTTTAGAGGTTTTCCCAACCCTCATGCAATGCCCATTAAGATCGACTTATGATAGTAATTCACCGGGATATTCGTTAAACGCACCCACACCGGCGTTGTAACAATGTCGTCCCGTAACGGATCAAAAGACGATGACCAATCTTGCACCATTAAGTAATTCCCAAAAATTCTCCACGGACCTCCTGTCAATGCAAACATGTACTCTTCCTCCAACTCAAACCGAATCATGTAGAACTGGCGAGGTAAGTCCATAACATACATAGCTCCTGTTGGCTTCCACAACTCCCGCAGCTTTCGGTTCAACACCGAAATCGGAACCTGACTTCCCAACACTTTCACCACCATACACCGTTTCCATAGCCCATTCATCGCCTCTATGACCTCTGCACCGATTGTTATCACCGGCTCCCCATCCTCTCCATTAGGAAACTCCAACTGAAGCCTCGATCTCACAAACTCATCATCCAAAACACTCTCCGGCGTCGGCATACCACCCCCCAAACCTCCCCTGGCTTTCGCTACCCATGACTGGACACCATCAGGCGGATCCCCCGGAGGTCGAACCCTTTCCCCGATATCCATCATGGTAGCATCCTGCACTCCTGTCGCCGTCGTCTCCAAATCGCCCTCGCTCTCCATCCCTTTTTTTCTCTCCTTTATTAGGTAGAGATAAGATCCTTTTCTTTTCCTCAAAAGATCTTTTTATTTTAGTTGAATTTTATTTAGTTTTTGTTTACTTATTTTGGAAATATATATTTGTTGGCATAAGGGAAATAGTTGTGAAATAATCCTCGTTCTTAGATTTTTCCGTTCATGGTTTTTGAATTTTGAATACTATTGACGTTTTTCTTAAAAATATATATCTCGGAATCCATCATTCAAGATTTTTTGGATATGATCAAAAGATTAGTAGAGAAAATATAAGCAATCATCAAAATAAGACCGCAAATTAGAGAATTTGATAGGCATAGTAAATTCACAAAAGTTTATGTAAAAGCTAGGGTATTTGTCAACGGATTTCAACCCCTTATTACGAGAAATCTAATCAAATTTGCAAATGGAGAAAAAGACAAAAAATCACACTAAAGTACAAAAGGTTGAAAAACGTTTGCTATTTTTTTATTTTTTTCATCTGAATAATTCATATGATATAAAACAAAAAAGTTCACAATACAAAAAAAACTAGGACAATCAACTACAAAAAATCATTATATCTATGTAATGCATTTATCATTTTCAAACATTTTCTATAGCCAAAAAGGTAGCCTTGAACTACATTTGATTGTGATCGACTGATCGGTCTTCCATTGTGACATTCTGTACTATAAGGAAAACACCTTTGTTTGCTCTTCGATCTTCTAAGACAACTCTCCAATCGGGGATGAGTGATAGGCAAGCATAAGCATCTTAGAATGAGCTTTAAAGTTAGGCTAAGCCATAGGTCGAGATATTGCACTAACATACATCTTAGATTCCAAGGCAAAAACAACTCGAGGCACATATAAGTTTTGCATTCTCTCCAATGCCCGTAGACAGCCTTGTAAATCAGCTTCATCTTTTGTTCTTATCAAACCAAAGGATCTACGGCTATGGAGGAGGACATTACCTACAAAGTTGCGAAGGACTCATGCCACACCACCAAACCCTTTATCTTTTTCCCTAGTAGTTCTCACATTACATTTCAACCAAGATTTTGCTGGAGGACACCATCACCGAATTTGGGACTGCACAATGCTAAGGGATTGTTTGTTAAGACCCAAATCAACATCTTTGGCAAGAAACCATTCATCACTATCTTCTTTAATTTTCCCCATTAAATTAGTTATCAAGAAAACCTTACCTTCAAAGACAAGGTTGTTTCTGGTTTTCCAAAGTAACCACAAAATCCAAGGGAGAGTTCTTCTAGTCTGGAGAGGAAGACATAAACCCTTGGCCAAAAACCGGAGAAGGTGAATATTCTGATAAATTTAGCTCTGATCAAAACTTCCTCTCGAAGTGGGAACCCGGAGAGAACCCATAATTTTCGGGCAAAAGTGCAAGAGAAGAAGATATGATTAATGGACTCTCCCTCAACACCACAAATCTAGCAACGCAAGTCCACATTCATAAACATTTGTCACTTGCACTAGTGAGAGGGAAAACAGAGACAAGGCCGGCTGGAAACCCGACATTGCACTATGGAGAGAGAAAATTAATTGCTATTGTAAGCAATTTGTTTCAAGAGCGACATTGTCACAAATTCGCATAGCTAACCCGGAGATGCAAGGGCATAAAGAGGTCTGGTTTTCGAATGCTACTCCAAAATATGCATTTGTCACTTGGTTGGTTATGAAAAACTGGGTAGCAACATGGGAAAAGTGGCTAAATGGAAGCAAAATGCGGATACAAGATGCATCTTCTGAAAAGATCCTTTCGAGACGAGGGAGCACTTGTTCTTTCTATGTCCGTACTCAAGGAAGGTGTGGGAGAATCTGGTAAGTGGGATTCTTTTAGAAAAATTCTCAGCAAAATGGCAAGATATAACAAAGGAGCTTGCGAGTACATATCGTGACAACACAATATTTATACTAAGATATGTTTTTTCAGAACGTTATCTACTCCATTTGGAGAGAAAGAAATGAGAGGAGGCACAGAGAGCAGCCTTCAACGACGTAAAAGTTAGTTAAGTTGATTGATAAGAATATTCGAAACCGTTTGAGCACACTAAAAAAAGGAGGTGAGGAAAAATATGCAGACGGAATTTTTTTTTTTTTTTTTGTCATCCGAAATTAATTAGAGCTAAAAAGAATCATTTTTGGGAAATATTGTTTACATACGTGATATGAAGCGGTTCTGTACGAATTTTTCGTGCCAGATTATCCGCTTTTATATTTGCACAACGAGAAATTAAAGATAAAAAAAAATTTGAGAACTCTTTTTTGTCTCTCTAAAATTCTTTCAAATTTGAGAACTCCTCCAAACAAGATTCAAAAATGGTTTGCAACGAAACAACATAAGGATAGAATCTCTTTGTGTTTTTTTAAGAAAAATTTGCATTCTAATATGTATAAACGTTTATTTTTCTTAAATAAAATTTAACATTAAAGTTTTAAAGTTTTTTAATAAACACATTATAATCTTCAGAATAAATGCTAGTAAACACATTATAAGATTCGAGACATTGAGATTGGCTGATTGGACCCTCCGCTCTCAGTTTTGATGGCCCTTTCCATATCTGTCTCCATGTTTTTTATTTTTTAATATTCTGTGATTTTTCGCTTTTATATTAAAAATTTTAAACATATTGTTATTTGTTTCGTTTCATCAACAAAAAATGAAAACATATTAACCCAAAAACATTTTCATGGGTCGTCTCATTATTGAATTTGTATAAATCAGTCTATCGTAAAAACTAATTATAGTTAGCCTCTACTTCTTTAACCAATTAGGCATTTTCGCTACTCTCTATTTTGCTTCTCCTACTTGTAACTTTCTTTTCCCCTTCTTTAATATTTGTATTCTTCTTTGGTTTTTGAGATATCATTATTAATTATTTCCTACCTTTGTCACGCGGCTACCTCTAGGTAACGCTGTGATTTGAGCATTTTCTCTTTGACTTCCTCTTTTGATTTGTGTTGAAGATTTTTCTTCTCTGCTCTCTTGCATTGTTTGAGATTTTAATGAAGATTTTGAGTTGATTTCTTCGGTTGTCTTTGCGATTTGAGTAATTACTTGAAGCCATTTCAAAATCCCATCTTTGATTTCTTTTTGTTGCTCTATAGTTAGTTTCGCGGTTCCGTTTATCTCTGTTTTGTTATTTCGCCCACCCGCAATCTTCTCACCAATGGATTGCAGTAATTTTACGGTATTCATGGCCTCCGTTTTTCCCCGTTGTAGACTCTTAGTCACCTAAGTTGGCAGAATTAGGAAACAAAACGTTTGTTAAGCCATAACTTCGTTTTAGTATATAATAATTGAAATAAAAAGTAACCAATATGAAAAATTAGTATAGTTGAAATCAAATCTGATTGGCTTCTCAAGTGTACTAATTCAATTTTCGTACCAATGATGATATTATTTGATTTTTTAGAAGAATCAATTTGTTTTTTTAATTCGATAGTTTGATTTTATACATATATAAACCTCCTAATAAATTTTCTAGAGTTTTTCTAGTTTGATGGACACAACAATAAAATTTTTGTCACTTACTGATCCTTCTCTAGATCTGTTTTTAACGGAACCGAGAGCTGACATTGCCTCGAAAAGGCTACCAGCCTTGGCCTTCATGTCAGATTCATAGCCTTTTGCTTTAGAGATCGGGCACACGTACTTGGAATACGCCTTAAGTTTTTCGAAGAAGACCTTAAACTTCTCTGTTTTGGGGCATTCCTTCTCGAGGTCAACCAGGAAGGTTGTCACAACTTTAATGGTATAAGACTCGACATCTTTTACGGTTGATGGATCTTCAATCTGTGGTAAAGCAGGTTTAATTTTCACGTGAGCTGAAGCTACATTGAAGAAGGTTATGGTTGCAACAAGGATGGTAAAACAGAAAAAAAGTTGAAATCTTGGCATTGTATGAGAAACGTAGATTGACAATTTTGTTTTACTTTTGAAGACTCTAAAGTCTCATATATATAAATATGAAGGACTCTATCTTTAGAATCATGGAAACAAGGAATTTATTTAAGAGAAATATTGGTGGATAGAGATTAAATTGAAAAAAAAAAAAAAAGAATAGCAAAGAACCTAATGGTTCTCCTCTTTTACATTCTTTTGGAGTATATGCACTAAAATCACAACCTATATTGTTGCCCTTAGGCCTTAGTTCTATAATGTGTATATACATTTTCACTGGGACAGTAAAAAATGATACTTATATTTTGGTAATTAAATAGAAAATTGTTGCATGTAAGACTACAATCTAGAACAGTTTTATTACTTAATTAGAAGGTCAATAGAAATTTTCTTGTTATTCATTTGTTTTGTAAATAGAGAGAGACAGAAAGTACAATTCCAGTTTACACTATGCCAACCTCGCTGTCTACCCATAAAGTTAAGAAACTAAGTAACGAATTATTATTGTTAACCTAGGAAACGTTTGTTTGAAACTGATAAACGACTTATACCCGTATTTTTCTTTTATCTTTCAATAAAATTCTTAAAAAGGAAAAAAAAGTAACAGAGTTCCATGAATCTCTCTCTGTCTTTTCTTTTTTGTTTTCTCATTTTAAGTAACCATTTTTGTGTTCTATAATTAGCTTATAAGAGTTAAAAGAACAAAGTATATATACCATTCCTAGATCTCAAATCAAAACGCACTTCCTTCGTATTTTATTATCTCTTTTAGGGATCGTTTTTCTAACAAATTTTGCCTTGCCATAAGCAATACAACCATGGCAAGGATCTCTCTGTTGTTCTCTTTAGCCTTTGTTCTAGCCCTCGGCTCATTGTTCCTTTCCGTTTCCGGTCACGCTCCTCCCGTGACACCGAGAAAACCGGCATGTCCAAAAACCGTATCTGAGCTCCAGACCTTACCTTTTGCCGAAATCACTGAGATCCTAAACCGGAAAGAGCGGTTTGCCCCGAACACCCTTGAGTTCGAGGTAATGTTCTCAATGTGCAAAGGCTATGTGGCATACCTTGAGAGCCTCTATAAGTTTGAGAATCCCATTGTAGATGTTTTAGGAATAGCCAAGGCCAGATACGCCTTAATGACCAAGGCAATTCTTGCTGCACAAGCTAGTGTTGGCGGTAAGGTCAATAAGAAAACTTCTTTAAAGCTAAAGAAAAGCTACGCTGATTTGACAAAAGGGTTTCTCCAGATTAAAGAAACGATTGTCAAGATATCAGCCAAACATGAATACAAGGCTGATGCTAAGATCACGGCTCACGAAGCGAAAAAGCTCAATCACGCTATGATAAATTTCAAGAATTCGATTAATGCTTTCATGAATGTGGTTAACAATCTTGAGAAGAAGAAGATGAAGAAAATAGGTCTTCACGCAAGAGCACTTGGAGAAAAACGTGATAGAGTACGAAATGCTTTCAAAAGTTTTTTCAATAAGTTTGGTGGTTATCTAGGAGGTAAAACTCATGGAAGAGAACTAACAGAAGCTAAATACAGCGCCAATTCTCATGTTGGTGCTGACGTCAAAGGATTTGAATCTATTTTAGATAAATTTTCTGGCTTCTTTAGTGGTTATCTCGGAGGTCAAACTCACCGAAGAGAACTCTTTAACCAACTACCAGGCGTAGAGCAAGCCGATGAAAAAATTGCTATCCATGCTTCTTTGGCACAAAAAGCTCGCGGAAGAAGAGGTCGCGGAAGGGAACTCTATATCGTAGGTCGTCCGGCCAGAGGCAGTGCCAAAGCTCCGACCGGTGAAATATCCGAAGAGTTTTCCCAAAGCAACTTTGATAAATTTTTTGGTGATTTTTTCAGAGATAAAATGCGCGGTAAAGCTCACAAAAGAGAACTCTATTTCGTAGATTCTGCCAGAATCAAGGCCGAAGCTCCGGCTGGATTCAATGCCGCAGCTCCTACTAGTGAAATAGAGAAAGAATTGTCCCAAAGCGTTTTCGATAAATATTTAGGTCATTTTTTCGGAGATAAAATTCGCGGTAAAGCTCAAAGAAGAGAACTATATGCTCAATCTCCGTTATTTAAAGATTTCTTCAATGTTGGATTTGGAGGTAAAGCTCAATATGATGCCGCGGGGAAGATGAAAGTCGCCGGACAAGATGGATTCAGGGCACTGAAGAGGCCACATTACAAACATTTTGCTTCGACGAAGGCATAATTTTATGCATTTTTCACAACAGAGGAAGGAAGCCATGAGTTCATCTTTATTAAAATTATGTGTTTGTTTTTTCAATAAAATACGAAGGAAGGGAAATGCCTAGCGACATTTATATATATGTAACTTTGTAAAAGTTGCAAAATTTTTAATTAATAACATTCTTATCGCATGTTTGTCAATGGCTTGATAAAACTTCGAATTAACATTCTTTCGAATTAATAGCTGATAAAATTTGTATTGATCGAAAGGGTGTTCAAATCCGCGCAAAGTGATCGATCTAAACCGAAATAATTGATCCAAAAACCTTTTAAGAATATGTTAAACTCTTATAAACTATTTTCTGGTGTTTATTTAAATTCGTGCATATGAAGATGAAGCCAATGTTCACAAGGAAGACACATTTTATAGACTTTTGAATAAAAATGGTAAATACTCAGTCAAATTTCGTTATTGGTTGAATTACACAAAAGTCCATGAGACTATAATTAGAGAGACTGAAACAGCTTCCACTATAAAACTCTGTTTCAAGTCAAAAATTTGGAGGATCACGATTTACGACCATGTCACTACAAAAAAAGGTCATTTTACATCATTTATTTTATATTTTTACATCAGTTATGAATGATGTAAATAAAATTTACATCACTTAAATAAGTGACTCTGAAAGTGGTGATGCAAATAATTTGTATCGATTTATTACTAAACGATGTTAATATCCAAAATATTTACATCGATTATTGTAATCGATGTTAATTTGTATCAATTGCAAAAATTGATGTTAACTTTTACATCAGTTTATTTAAGTGATGTTAGGATTTGTTTCAGTTGAAAAAAATGATGCTAACCTTTACATCGGTTTATTTAAGTGATGTTGATAAGGTTTAAAATTTAAATAATTTCCAAATTATTAAAAGATTAATAATCTTAAATATTTCCCATAATTACTATTTTTTTAATTATTATTTTTTTTGTAAATGAAATCGTTTTCAATAATATCTACTAAAATCTTGATAAGATTTTAATTTTTACTAATAATCATTAAAAAACAAATTTTCATTTACGAAAAATGAAAAAAAAATCATGAATACAAATCAATCAATGCAGACTCGATCATTAGTACTTCGTGAAGATCATTAGCTATTTTACAAAAGAAAAAAAAAATTATATGAACTTAGATCATGACCAAGCTATGAGTTCTTCATGTTGAAGTGGTATATGAAACAGATTTTTCTTCATTCCATGCTCTTTCTTTTCCATTGTCTTGAGGATATTGATCATTGCTCCTTCCTTTCCATTGTCTTAATTTGATCCTTCATCTTCAGATTTTCTAAGTATGAAAACAAAAATAACAGAGAAAAATAAGAATCACACCTAAGAAAATCAACAATGTAAATTATAGAAGAAAAATAATATTTGCCTTGGAATGATTTAGAAGACTAAGTGAGGAATATGACTATGTGTTGGACATAACTTGATTCACCAAAAGTGCATTGTTGGCATCGTTCAAACAAAATTTCACGTGGACTTAGAGAAGAAAGAGTATTATGTTCTGGTGACTCCAAAGTTTTTTTTGTTGTTTCTGTCGATTTAGGAAAAGAATTTTGACAAAATTAAGATTTATACTAAGCGAAAAAGCTCTTTAATTATATTTAAAATCACATAAGATATTATTTTTATTTAAGAAGTTACAGAAATCGTGGGTTGGTTAAGGAGTAGATTGAGTAGTAGAAACAAAGTTTTTTTTTTCACAAAACAGGTTTTAATACAAAATTGAAAGTAAAAAAAAACAATTGTTACGAAAATAAAGAAAAAGAAATGGATACTAACTAAAAGCCTACGTTTGTGAATATAAAACCCAAATGTAACTGTTTATTTATGGATAAGATTTTTGAGATATAGATTAGTTATTTTTAAAAATATTTGAGCGTTTTTTAAACTTGCTATTTAAAAAAAAACCTCTGTTGTGAATATTCCCAACATGCTTAATTCTTTCAAATCTTCTTTTGTTTTTAAATAAACTAACTAATCTAAATATCAAAAATTAAGATTAAGTAGCATCAAAATTTGCAACGGAGACAAAGTAAAACTACATGCTAATTGTCGAATCTGTGTATTATTGATATCAATTTTCTATCGTTTATATAATTAATGTTAATTTTGTATCATTTTTAAGTGATGTGAACAAAAATGATAAATACATCAATTATTTAACTGATATGAATTAATATCTTTGTATCAATTTTTTTGATGTGATGCAAACTACTATAAATTTATGTCATTTTCTAATTGATATTAAATATGTATCAATTGTAAGTGATATAAATAAAATTTATAAATACATCAAGTATTTAATTGATATAAATTCATAATTTTGTATCAATATTTTTGAAGTGATGCAAAGTAATATAAATTTGTATCATTTTAATTGAAGCGATGTTAAACAATTCAATTTTAACATCAATTATAATAATTGATGTTAACCCACATATTTTTTTTATCATTTATTAATAAATGATTTAATTTAAAATCACTTATTTTTCTGATACTATTTAAGTGATACAATCCACTTCTTTTTTTGTAGTGTGTGATCCATGTCCAAAAATTTGTACGAGACACCACAGTGATAAAATGCTTCAGCTACGTACGTATTTAGGATATGCATTCTGAAAACTGTGGAGCCAGAGGAGTGTCCACGAACACAAACATGTTTTACATTTATATTTGAAAAATACTTTTGATTTGTTGTGGTATTACAAACGATGATTTTATCATTAACAATGAGCAAATCTATATCTAACAGTTCTATCTACATCACGTTAAGTCGTTAACTATTGACAATTTTATTTTTACTATATGAAACTACGACAAATAATTCTACATGCACCACGCTAGATATTTAATTTTACTAATTTTCATTAATCTGTATAAATCGAATTTTTGAGAATCAAACGATACCTAATGTAGAAACACTAAATAAACCATTGTCAATTATTGATCAAAGAGATTTCTTTTTTTTAACATCTATCATCATTAATTTTTAATATCTAGTAATATTAACTAAAAACTATAATAAAAACCTTAATGTACAAAATAAACCATTGTCATTTATTGGACCAAAAATACTTCAATTTTTTTTTTCATGTCTACCATCATTGCGAATAATATCAACTTATATATATATCTATGAAAAAAAATTAGAGATCTATGTGTGAATTATCACACAGACTCAAGATCAGTTTAAAACTATAGAAATCTATATGTGTCTTAGACAAGCAAATTAGACATCCGAACTGAAAAAAAAAATCGACCAAGTTTTGGGTTTGAAATAGCATATGCATCAATGCATGAGCCGATTTGCAGAGAAAGCGGAAAATTCAAGTATATAAACACGAACCTTATTGTGGAAAGAGACTCGAGGCGACGGTAACGGTGTGGCTACAAAGGCAAACGAAGAAAAAGTTTCCAACAGACTTAAAAAGATGGTAAACAATAGGAGGGAGACAAAAAAATTTCTAGAGTTCTCGAATATTTTGAGTGGGATGATTTTTTTCTCTCACTTAGACCTTGATTGGTGACTTGTACACTAGAACTGTTTCAAATAAAGTTGCTTGGTTCAGGGGAGTTTGGTTCCCCCACGCAACTCCCAAATTTTCTTTTTGTCTCTGGCTTGCGGTACATGATCGACTTCCAACAGCAGATAGGATGGCAAAATGGCAGGGGGGGCCATCAATGGCATGCGTTTTTTGTCATCATAGCTCAGAATCCCGAGATCATCTATTCTTCTCATGTGGGTTTGTTTCTGAAATTTGGGCAGCGTTGGCTAAAGGCATTCTCAAATCAAGGTACACGGTTGACTGGAACTCTCTGGTTACATACGTCTCTCAACTTCAAAGTACTCGATTGGAGAGCTTTATAGCTAAATACCTCTTTCAAGCCACGGTGTATAATGTGTGGAGAGAGAGAAACGGGAGACGGCACGGTGAGGATCCGATCCCAGCATCACGTCTCATAAGAATGATTGACAAACAAGTACGGAACAAGTTTTCCTCAATCAGGGCAAGCGGTGATAGGAGATACGACAAAGGACTTCAACTTTGGTTTGAATCGAGAAGTTAATTTTTAAGTTTATGCATATGTTTTCAGCTTCAAATTTTCAAAAACTGTTGCACTTGTTGTACAAACGTTTATTTTTCTTTTGAATATAATTTAACATTACATTCAAAAAAAAAAAAAAGATTGGTGACTTGTAAAAAGCGGAATTGAGATGAAAATATTCAAAAACACTTTTTGTCAACCAATCATCAATAATGTTAACAATTTGCGTTTTTCAAAAAAAAAAAACAACAAATCGCGGATTTTAAGACTGTATATTACACATAACCGCAATTTTACATACCATCATGTTTTATCTATCGGTTTTAGTCGAAATCCGCAGTGATCAATGGGTAATAACTTTTTTGTTCTTTTTCATTAAATTTTTTTAATTTACTAAATTTGCTATATATAGATTACACATATCTTTCCAAAAATCACATATACAAAAGTAGAAAAAAATTCTTCATATACACCTATCTCTCGCACGTACTGCAGTTGAACCGTACCGCACTATAAAACTGTTTTTCTAACACAATCAAATACGATGTTTCCATTGAGACCCTATATATCAAACTCTAGGCAAAGAGACATAACATATAAACACTAAATATTTACCCATTTGTCCATCACTTTTTTCACATCTTTTTTTCCTTCGTTACTTTTTCCACATCTACCATCACTTATTTTTATAATCTTAAATATTACTAAATCACTATTATATTTTTAATATTTATTATTCTAGTTTTACCGTTTACACACTTTTAGTTTTACCCATTGTATATCCATTGCCAAAAAGTTCCAAAAAATGATGAAAAATTAAGGGGCAATAATAATATAAAAAATCTGTTTAGTGTGAAACAAAACCCGCCGTTGGAAATTAAACCCGCCCATAGAAGAAGAAAAACCTCTCTTGACTAACAAAAAAAAAATTAAAAACATGGCCCCTGGTTTCTCTTCTCTTTCGAATCTATCTTCTTCAAAAAATCCACTTTAATCCAATCCTTTCGTATTTTTATTCTCACCTTCTCCTCGTTTTTCCCGAAACTGTTCTTTTGCCCTCTTCTCTCAATTTTACTCTTAACAAATCGAACAGTGTTCGATAACTTTTAGATTGAAAGTTCTGTTTTTGATTTGGTCGGGAAAAAGAAAACTAGGGTTTTAAATGCGAACTGGTACAGTTGTGTCTGGACGAGTAAGTAAAGATCTCTCAAAAACGAATCCAAATGGGAATATTCCGTTGGTGACGAAATCTATCGCTTCTGAGAATCGTTCTAGTTCACGTAAGAAGATCCAACGACGGAGCCAGAAAACCCTAATCTGTCCGGTTCAGAAACTGTTTGATACTTGTAAGAAAGTTTTCGCTAATGGCAAATCTGGAACCGTCCCTTCTCAAGAAAACATTGAGATGCTTCGAGCCGTTTTGGGTAAATTCTATGATCCTTTTGAATTTTTGGGTTAATGGGTTGTTATAAAGTTTGAAACTTCATTGATGATTCATTGTTTTGTTCTCTTGATCAGACGTAATCACGCCTGAGGATGTTGGTGTGAGTCCTAAGATGCCGTTTTTTCGATCTAAAGTGACCGGAAGTTCTCCGTTAGTGACGTATCTTCACATCTATGCATGTCATAGATTCTCGGTATATATCTTAAGAAATCTTGAATTGGTCTGTTCTTTATGGTTTCGTAATTCTCTTATTTGGTTTTGTTTTGTGTGTTTCAAGATTTGCATTTTCTGTTTACCACCATCTGGTGTAATCCCTCTTCATAATCACCCGGAGATGACTGTGTTTAGTAAGCTCTTGTTTGGTACAGTGCATATCAAATCCTATGATTGGGTTGCAGATTCTCCCCGTAAGTATATTACATCAATCAGAGCTTAGGATTAGTGTTTTGATTATGTTGTTGTTTAACATGTGTTGTTGTTCTTTTGGATCAATGTAGAGCCGAGTTCAGATACTCGTTTGGCGAAAGTGAAAGTAGATTCGGATTTTACGGCACCTTGTGATACTTCTATACTCTATCCGGCTGATGGAGGGAATATGCATTGCTTCACCGCGAAAACAGCTTGCGCGGTTCTTGATGTTCTTGGTCCTCCATACTCTGATCCCGCAGGACGTCATTGTACTTACTATTTCGATTATCCGTTCTCTAGTTTTTCAGGTATCATTTTCGAAACTTTTTATATGCTTTGTGTTAGAATCTAAGTACTAGTAGTACAGTAGTAGTGGTTGAACATAAACACCGGACCTGAATTTCATAATAACCCCGAATAGGAAAGAGAGTTTGATAAACTTAAATAGAGAAGAATTACATTCAAATATGAATCATTGTTGATATTAATTTAAATTTATTTATTTATCCAAAATTGAATCTAAATTTTGCAAACTAAACCGAAGTTAAATTTGTTTCTAGTTTTGATTTGTTTCCCAAAACCTAAAATACTTCTTCCTTCTCCTATTTAGTAGTTTGAGATCTTTGTGTTGTTTTTTTTCGGAATGTTCAGTTGATGGAGTCGCGGTTGCGGAAGAAGAGAAGGAAGGCTATGCATGGTTGAAGGAGAGGGAAGAGGAGCCAGAGGATTTGACGGTTAGTGCAATGATGTATAGTGGACCAACCATCAAAGAATGAATGTAAAAAAAAAATCGGAAGCATAGCAACCAAAAAAAAAAAAACCCTCTATTTTCTTTGTTTCTAGATTTCTGTTGGGTTTTGGTTGTATATAAAAAGAAGTTTTTGAAAGTACACACAAGGACAAATCTAGTACTTATTTATTTAGATAACAAAGAATAGCAAGTACACCTTTGTCGGAATGTTGTAGTCTCTGTTTTGGTCAAAGATCCTTGCAAGTCGTTGTCGTATTATGTCTTTTCTCGTGCGTTTAAATATTTTCATAAGCAGTAATGATTATCAAATGGGGATGTAGCTCAGATGGTAGAGCGCTCGCTTAGCATGCGAGAGGTACGGGATCGATACCCCGCATCTCCAATTTTAGTCTCTTCCTTTTCCACTTAAATATTTTAAATTTCAAAAAGACCACTAGATTTTACATGCTTCACAAAAGAATCCCATTAGTTTGAAATTTAATCACAAAACCCCCTCAACAAATGTCCAAAATTAAAATCGTATTTCATTTTTTTTTTTACATTTTATTCAGCATTTTTTTTGTTTTGTCATTATTATGAGAAATTGAAAAATAATCTAAATCGTGAGAACCTCAGAACTTGTAGCTCGACAATTTTACAAACAGTAATCCAACAAAGAAACAAAAAAATTATAATTTCTCAAAAAATAATCTTTCATTTCATAAACTACTTGGCTTGTCTTTGTCTTCTCTTGAGGGCTTTCTAAGAGACTTTGAGTATTTGTTGAAAAGCTTCATGTGGAATATCAACAGAACCAACTCGTTTCATCCGTTTCTTCCCTTCTTTCTGTTTCTCTAGAAGCTTCTTCTTCCGAGTTATGTCTCCTCCATAACATTTTGCAAGAACATTCTTTCTCATCGCCGAGATTGTGTCTCTTGCAATGATCTTTGAACCAATAGCAGCTTGTATCATTACTTCAAACATTTGCCTCTCTATGTAGTTCTTAAGCTTCTCAACCAGTTCTTTACCCACACGGTAAGCTTTCTGCTTGTGAACTATAGTGGCTAACGCATCAACTGCTTGCCCGTTCAAGAGTATATCGAGCTTCACCAGATCTGATGCCTGGTACTCTGCATCCTCGTAGTCGAAAGAAGCATACCCTGATGTTATGCTTTTTAATTCATCGTAGAAATCTACAACAATTTCCCTCAATGGTAACTGGTATTTCAACAAAACTCGTTGTGCATCTATAAATGTGTATTCTAGTTGCTGACCTCTTCGATCAGAGCAGAGGTTGATAACAGCTCCTACGTACTCACTTGGAAGGATGATTGTGGCGATTACCGTTGGCTCCCAAGAAGCTGTGACTCGGTATTTGGGGTTTGATGGTAAGGCAGCTGGATTCTGCACTTGTAGCTTGCTTCCATCTGAGTATTCAAATGTGTAAGGAACAGTAGGGATTGTGGAGATTACTTGTGTACCGTATTCTTGCTCAAGCCGTTGATGAAATACATCCATGTGAAGCAAACCGAGGAATCCACATCTAAATCCCATTCCAAGAGCTGTACTTGTTTCCTTAGCCACTGATACACTTGCATCGTTGCATGTCAGTTTCTCTATGGCATGACTAAGTGCTTCAAAATCAGATCCATCAGCAGGATACACGCCTGAGAACACCATATGCCTCACCGGCTTGAAACCTAGATTCCACATGATTAAACACAAGTCAGCGAGCTTAAAACCGGATTTTTAAGCAGCTTATTGGAGTTATACATTACCAAATAGGATTGTGTCTCCAAAGAAATACCTGGAAGAGTCTCAACAGTAGTTTTCGTTCTGTAGATTGTGTCTCCAATACGTGCCTCTTTCGTGGTTCGCATGCCAGTTACTATATAACCAACTTGTCCCGTGAGAAGCATTCCTGTCGAAGTAAGCTCAGGATGCATAATCCCGACATCTAATACTTCATAAGACTGACCCGACGCAGCAAACGAAACCTTATCCCCTTTACTCAACATTCCATCAACAACAGAAACATAGCAAATAACACCTTTGTACTCATTAAAAAAAGAATCAAACAAAAGCATCCGTAGAGGCGAATCACTAATCCCAGGAGGAGGAGGTATCCGTTCTATAACCGCAGGAAGAACATGCTCAAGACCCAAACCGGTTTTAGCAGACACAAGAAGCACATCATCAGTATTAAGATCAAACATCGATTTCAACTGAGCTTTAACACGCTCAGGATCAGCAGTTGGTTGATCAATCTTGTTAATCACAGGTACAATAGTAAGGTTAGCTTCAAAAGCTAAGTAGAAATTAGCCACTGTTTGCGCTTGAACACCTTGAGCCGCATCAACAACTAAAAGAGCACCTTGACAAGCTGATAAAGATCTAGAAACCTCATAACTAAAGTCAACATGACCCGGTGTATCAATCAAGTTCAAAAGATAACCACTCGCTTCTTGATCTTCTACTTTGTTTTCATAAAACATCGTCGCTGTCTGAGCTTTCACAGTGATTCCTCTCTCCCTCTCTACCTAAAAATCAAAACTTTATTGAGATAATCACTACCCTCATTGTCATTTCTACTCAATTCAAACATATCACCTCAAAAACCATAATCATTCTCAAAATTGACAATGAAAGACATCAACTTTGAGGTAAAGACAGTACCTGTAATTTGTCGAGATACTGAGGCTGACCATGACCTTTCTTGATTGTGCCAGTAAGTTCCATGAGACGATCAGCCAAAGTAGATTTCCCATGATCAATATGAGCAATGATTGAGAAATTTCGAATCTTTTCTGAAGGAAACTTGGTCAAATCAATGGTGGGTTCTTTGGAGCTTTGTCTAGAATCAGAGCTGAAACCGTAAGCTTGGTACAATCCGATACATGTCGGAGTTTGTCGATTGGATTTGAGTGAATTGAACAAGATTGAAAATGCTTGTCTTGATGATTTTAGGGTTTTAGATGCTCTGTACATAGAACCCATTTGGGGGTTTTGCGTAATAGTAGGAGATTGGAGCTCAACTACACGAAGAAGTTAAGAGGAAATTCATCTCTGCGCTAATACGACACCGTATTAGGGGAATTCAAAAACCAATGTTATTGTTGACTGGTTTAACCAAACCGGATTGTCTTATAACCTATTGGTTAAATTCATAATCTTCATTAACTATTTTAGAAACAAAAATTTAGTGGTTAAATTGTTTCTCAATTTTTTTTTTTCGTCAATTGTTTCTCAATTTAGATATCGACTGTACCATATTCCTTGTGAGTTTGTGGTCATGTGATCACAATATAACCAATGTTAGTGTAGAGTAATTTATTTTTTTATGATAAGTTAGTTTATGAATTTATTTTAGTTATACTAGTTGTGTTGTGATAAAAAATTTCACCAAAACGCAAATTTTTATTATTTTGGTTCTCAAAATAAATCAAAAGGAAAAAAACACAAGCATTATTATATAGTAGTTCTAATCAAAACAATTAAAGAATAAATAAACTGACAAAGTGTTCAAGAGTCAAGACAAATCAATGTCTTTTGAATTCCAAGCAACCTAGTTTTGGCTTCATTACACCATTAGATTCACCTTTAACATTGATGCATTCAGCAGAAGGATGATCATTATGAGACAATGATTTATGGTATTTCTCTTCTTCTTCTTCGTTTTCGTTGCGAATGTTTATATCGTTCATGAATATACCTCTACATGGGACTGATTTGCTGCATAGGAGTTGCACAAAGGGTTTCTTGATTGATGTTCCATGTATGTGATTGTACATTACATTCTTGATCTCCACAGCTCTAGTCTGTATATATATGAATTAAACATCAATTTCTTGAATAAAATATTATTTTAAGATATGTTTGTTACCCAAAAATTTCACTATCCTTGTCAATAATCTAGCAAACTATGAATCGTTAAATATCTACTATAAATCAGATAAATCTAGTCACATATCCAAGAGATTAAACTTTATAAAAAAAAAAAAACTAGAACAAAATAATTACCTCAAGCAGCATCACATAGCAAAAAATTTTGTATTTGATGGCTAGAATATATTCGTTCTTATAAATCGAATTTTCTTATTATATCTGCTTTCATTTTATAAATACCATATATCCTAATATAATATGTAAACACGAATGTGGATTAGTTTTAAGAAATGTAGTTTGTAAAATAATCACAATTAAGCTAATACTTTAAATTACTAGTTTAAACACTTCTATAGTTATTATGGCCTACGTATTTTTAAATTAATACAAGAAAAATCAATAGAAGGAGAAGCAAAGATTACTTACATGGTTTTTGCATTGTGAGTGAGGACAATAAAACTGGTCGATAATGATAGGTCGTGTTGCCCCATGTAGCTTTATACGTTCAAATAAAACATTTCGCACATGTCCTCTTCCCCCCTAAATAATACAAACAATAGCAAAATGATATTGTCATTACTCTAATTACAATATCTAAATTAGGGAGAAGAAAAACAAATAAATCAGTTTTACCTGCCATGTCTTGATTCTAACCCCATTAGTTGTTTCTCTAAAGGTACAATCTCTAACAACAACATTTTCCACTGTTTCTTTGGTTCCATATCGACCTAAGCTTCCGATACTTGTTTAGGCAAAATAACTTGATCACATAATTTATACTAATTTTACCGTAGTAAAAGTTAAAATAAGTAACCATAACAATGGAGGAAAAGTACCTTATTCCATGCCCCGGACCACATGAGATTCGTGATATATTAACGTATTTTGAGCCGTCACCAATAGATATACAATCATCACCTTAAAATATCAAAAGTCGATAAAGGCGGTTGGGATTATGGTTCTAAAAGATCAAAAAGATACATTTTAATTGTATTATAACTCTAACCTAATTAGGAGAGACTTGGATAAACATCTTATTCGATCTTTTTTAGACAGTACAAAGATAAATGATAAATCAATCACCTGTACGGATGTTACTTTCGTATACGATAACATTCTGAGAACGTTGAATGTGAATGCCATCAGTGTTAGGGCTATCACCATCAGCGGTTATGGTGAGTTGCTTAACAATAACCCATTTTGAATCTTCCAGCGACATTTGAAAATTTGGACTGTCCTTCACCATAATGTTGCTTATATGCACATTACTCGAATGTGATATAACCACACCCTAAAAAAATTATGCAACGACTTATTTAACCTTAAATATGAGAGATTTTATTGACTCATTGTTCAGTGATATTTTACATACCCTTGGTCTCTTGAGACATGCCTATAAAGAAATGAAAAAGTTATATGGGTTTAGATTAATAGACAGTAAAGTAAATGGTGCTACTGATCAACATTGGAAAACAATGAAACAAGGGGAAAGGCGTACATTTTTATATTTGTTGCAATCTAGAGACCACCATTTTGTTCCTTGACCATCAAGTGTACCATGACCATTAATATGAAGTCCATTTATATGACCGAATTCGATCCATTTATGACAATGATCTTTCTTACATTCCCATTCATATGGAGATTCGGGAGCAATTAAGTTTCCACTGATCTACAAATAAAAAAATAAATGTATTAGTATTTGCATATATTTTCAAAAATCTTCTATGGTAAAAAAATAGATTTCCAAAAGAATCAAAATCAATGTTAAATATGTGTATGTATATGAGTTATGCATACCGATAAAATGATTTTCTTGGATTTACAAGGGCCATGAAACTCAATAGGTTGCAGAAGAAATGTGTATCCTTCAGGAATTTCCATAGTTGATTGAGATCCAATGTAATTGCATGTGTCTTCCCATGCATCCTTGAATGCCTGAAACCAAATATGTATGTATTTGGTTTGTAAATTTTCAATATATGTAAAGTAATTTACCAAAATGAAAACAAACCTTTGAATCGTCAGAAAATCCATCTCCAATTGCTCCATAATTGAGAACATTAAAACTTTTACTTTCATGATAAAGAGAATAGTGAGACTGAACTAACTGAAAAATGTGGAAGAGAGTTAAAGAGAGGATAAAAGTTGAGAACATTGCGGAATTTGCCATTTTCTTCTACTCAATGAACAAAGTTACACACTGAATCTATTTAAACATAAATCTCAATTACATTTAGCTTACAAAATCTAAATCTATGATTTTTTGTAAAATTTAAAGATTTTCTTTTATTTGATAGTTGAAAATTTAGATTCTTTGAGATTATTTAAACTAAAAAAATATTAGTTGCCGAGAAAAATGGTTTATAAAACAAAAAGTGACTTTGATAACTCCGTATATAGGAGAATAAACTAGAGCATCTTCAAAGAAGTTGATAACAGATAAAACATTATTAAAAAAAAAAAAAAAAAAACCCTCACTTTCTTCTCTTTAGTTTCTTGCTTCTCAAGTTACATGCCAAGTCAAAGTCCCCATGATCAGTGTCTTGCTAGGCAATTCCGCAGCTGATGGAGAGATATATGTAATTCTCTCTTCAACAATATCAACATTTTTGATACACACAAATCCAGCAACAATGCTGCAAAAACACATTTGCTGCAAAATTAACGATCTCTTCGTCTATAGCTTTAAGTATAATAATTATAGAAAAAGTTGGAGATATTACCTTGAGATGATCTGATGAGGTTGTTTGGTGTATGAGATAGCAAGAACTTTGTTCACAAGATGTTCGTCAATTGTCACAGGTATGATCTTCAAAGGGTTGTTTCCTCTTTGATGAGCAGAAGTTGAACTACTCTCTCGAAAATCACCGATTTGATATACTTGCACATCAGTGAACTTTACTGTTTTGGTGTAGACGTTGAGATCGTTCGTGACTCCATAGAAATAATTCTGTGCAGAAACAAATTGAAAGAACTGCTTTAGTCAAAAACATATAGAGAAACCAAATTATTGAAATCTTCAAAGCGAAAAGTCTACCTGAATATTACTGTTCCTCAATGTTTTGCGGAAGTCCGAGCTCCTAGAGAAGACTCCAGCTGACTTCTCAAGATTCAAGAATTGTAGATTCTTCTTGAATTTGAGATCTTTCTTCAGATCATTGACGAGTTTTTCCTCCTGCAAATGACAAAGATCAATATTGTAGGTTTCTTGATTTAGGATTAAGCCAGAGAAAAAAAAGATTCGATACATATTACTTGACCAAGGACAATAACTAAAGATGCATTAAACGTCCTTATTGCATGGAGAAGCAGCTGCAAATTTCAAACATGATACCATGTCAGAAATCTTGTAGTTCATAGCAAAAACATAACAAAACTTGGTTCACAAAAAGAAAGAGAAAAAGAAGCTAAAATGACCGTATAGCCTTCACGAACGATAAATCCCATCGTGTCAAACACCATCCCCGAAGCTCGAGATTCAGAGTTACCAGAAAACTCTTCTTTTAATTCTCTGGCAAGCTCTTCCACAAGGGTTCTGTACAGTCTAAGGTTTACACTGAGAGTACAAGAAAGGAAAGTTCAAGCTAACAGGACATTATATTAAAACCTAAAAGAATCAAAACTAGAAGTCAATTACTTTGGATTTGCGTGACCAAAGTAGTGCACAAGAGCCTTATCAAGAGGAAACCCTTCAACAGGATCCACAGGCATCTTGATAGGAGTAGCAGAAACAGTTCCCGGTATGGTTATCGAGCTTTGTCCAATGTTAAGATCAACAAACGTTGGTTTCCAACCATCTTTTGCTGCCCAATTCAGAAGCATTTTAGCCAATGTACTCTTCCCAGAGTCTGTATCCCCTACAATGACAATCCTTGGTCCCTACATCGAACAAAACCGTAAAAAAAAAAAAAAAACCGATTGTTCAAGTTGCGATAAGAACTGGAATTAATAATCTTTAGTAAGAAAAAAGTACCTGTGAAGATACAGAATCTCTTGTTGAGCAAGTAACACGATGTCTTTGTACTAGTAGAGAGTTGTGCACTTCAAGATAGTTCGCCATAGGTGTCTATAACAGAGAACTTTTTAGTAAACAATATATTATATGAACTAAGAGTGGGTGAAACCAAAACCTTACCTCACATGATATATATTCATTTTCGATGGTACCATCGATTTCAATAGTTGCACCATACCATGTAAAAACCTGAAAAAGTGAGAAACTTTTTATGTATCAATGAGATATTATCATCATCAACAAAGCAGAGCTACACTCAGCTGATTCAACACACAAGGCCATAAGATGATACATACAGAAACTTAAGAACCCACTTCAACTATAAAGCATCAAGAGTATAACTTTAAACTCAGATCTTTAATCTAACCCACAAGGCCACAAGATGAATTTTGCAGTTGACACTATTTTAAAACATACCGCAAATGTCATGAGAGGTGGAAATGTGATCCAAGCTTCATGTGGAAGTTCATAGCCGAAAATCTCAGCTTTTCCATCGAGCAAACGGAGTCTGAGAGGCGAAGTACGTTGCACTTTGATTCTGAGTTCGCTCTGATTCTCTAAATCGACTCTTCTTATTTGAGGACCAAACATGTTTTGTTTCTTGTCAGATTTCTCAAGAAAGATAAGAAGTTTGATGGAACTAAGTTTGGATTTAAAGAGGCTCAAATGCTGGAGAGGAAGACGAAAAGTTCGTAACTTTTTTTTTTCCATATTTCCGATGTATCGAGAAATACGAAACGTCGCATTCAAGGAAGAGAGAATTTATTTAGATAGATTTGAATCTTTCGCCTCTCGTTCCAAACGACATCGTTTTGGCTTGGAAGTAACGACGTCGTTTGACTGTGGGAAGAAACGACTTCGTTTTGGGAACCCCTAATCATCATCTTCTTCGTTTGCTTCTCAAATTGAGGGTTTAACGGGTAGTTTTCTGGGGTTGGGGTTTATTTTCCTGATGAATCAGATTCTTTGTTTACGTTAGAATTCGAATTTAGGATCAAAGTTAGGAAATTTTGAGTGAGTAATGAACTTGAATTTGGCAAGTCCTTTATGGGTTCCTGTAAAAGCTTTGTTATGTAGGACAATCACGAGAAGGAGAAATTTCACTTCCACTGCTATAACTCGTTTAGCCGACAAGGTAAAACTTCGCTTAGTAGTTATAGAAATTTCTCTTCTTTGTTTGTTTTGTCTGAATTGTTGTTGGGTTCTTAAAAAAGGGGGAAAATGATGAGAGTGAGCTTTTGGTTGTTGTTGGTGGTGGAGCAGCTGGAGTTTATGGAGCTATTACGGCTAAAACTCTTGCACCTGATTTGAGAGTTTTGGTTATTGAGAAAGGGAGATTTCTTTCTAAGGTCAGTGATCTTTAACTCAATTGTCTAAAATGAGAGATGGTTTTGTTCATTTGTTTATCGTTTGTTATTCGTAGGTGAAGATTTCCGGTGGTGGTCGATGCAATGTGACAAATGGGCATTGCAATGATACTATTGTGAGTCTTCTTCATACATTAAAGCTTCAAACTTTATACCTGAAATTGCAGAATCATAAAGCTTTCTTGTAGTTTGAGTTTGAACTTTTGGTTAACGTAGATATCGAATCTGTATGTAGAATTTGGCAGGGCATTATCCTCGTGGTCATAAAGAGCTTAAAGGTTCTTTCTTTTACACACATGGACCTGCTGATACTATGTCATGGTTTTCTGATCATGGAGTACCACTAAAGGTTGTGACTTTGCATCCAATTTATCTTTAGAGAAGTTTGAATTATCCCGCATTTTCGCCTAATTCATATCTCTTGACAGATTGAAGATGATGGAAGAGTATTCCCTGTCAGTGATTGTTCATCTTCTGTAATTGATTGTCTCTTAAATGAAGCAAACATTAGAGGAGGTATTTTTAGAACACATCTCTTGAACGTATTCTTCGTAATTGTGGTGTCTCTACATTCATATATCCACTCAATATCCTTAAACAGTTAGGCTTGAGAGAGGTAAGTCTGTGTTAGCTGCTTCTACTAAACCCGATGGAAAGTTCCTTGTTAAAGTTGGGAAGCAAAGTGCTGACACGTCTGAATCTGTCGAAGCTACATATCTTCTGATTGCAACTGGAAGTAGCCAACAGGTTATATAATAATCGCATTTGAAGAATACAATATTCTTTTTTTTCAAAGCTTTCTTATAATATGGGTACTTACGTTTTCCTAAGATGTTTTTTTCTTATTATGTTACAGGGTCACTCTTTAGCCACTAAATTTGGTCATTCCATTGTAGATCCAGTACCGAGCTTATTCACTTTTAAGATCAATGATCCATTGCTGACTGCGTTAGCAGGGGTAAATTTCTCCAAAACCAGAATTCGCTAGCACAAATTCTTTTTAACGAGCTTCATATGTGACATTGTTTAATTTCTCTTGCCCAGATTAGTTTCTCGAAAGTCCAAGCCAAATTGAAATTAGATAATCCATCCCAGGATTTTTCTAACCTCGTGCAGGTGTGCATTTTTTTCCCCTTGCTATTCCTAATTTGTTTAAAATCCTTTCTCATGAAGAAAAGTTCAAATATTACTTTTTTTTTCTGTCAAGATTGGTCCAATGCTTGTAACACATTGGGGACTTAGTGGACCGGTTATTCTTCGACTCTCTGCATGGGGTGCACGGCATCTCTTCAGTTCTAAGTACAAAGGTCTGTATCTTTCATATCTAAGGAGAGAATTTTTGTTCCTGTAAATTCGATGACGTTAGAACATATTCAATTTTGCTGCAGGGCATCTTATTGTCGACTTCATACCGGATATTAACATCGAAACTGCTAAATCTGTACTCAAAGAACACAAGCTGCAGTTTTCAGTAACAACATTTAATACTTGTACTCTTTTGTACTCTTTGTTTCTTGTCTCGTTGTTGGAAAGTTTGAACATTGTTTAATGCAGAAGCACAAAGTATCCAACTCCTTTCCTCCTCAATTTGGTCTTGTCAATAGATTCTGGAGATACATTCTAGACCGCGAGGTTCTGACAATCCTTCTAGAATCTTCTTTCATAGCTTTTCTATATCGTAAAACCTCTCAATCTTACACGAATGTCATTGATTGTCTTCATGATCCTGCAGGGTTCTTCAAAAGACACCTTATGGGCTTCACTGTCAAATAACTCCTTGAGCTCTATTTCTGATCTTCTTAAACATTGTACATTTCAAGTCACTGGGAAGGTATAACATGAAACATTTTATCATTTTCTTATCAAACTACTCAAGATGGTGGTGATGATGATATTGTGTTACATTTTGTTGCTGCAATAGGGTCAATACAAAGATGAGTTTGTGACAGCAGGAGGAGTTCCTTTATCTGAGGTTCCGTTTTCGAAACTGAAAACCAATCCTTTCTTATTGCGGTTCTTACTAATCTGATTTTATGTGTCTCTTGCTGATTCAAGGTTTCTTTGAAGACAATGGAGAGCAAATTAGTTCCGAACCTTTTCTTTGCGGGAGAGGTAAGCATTGCTACGATGTTTCAATCATTCATTTAGTCACTCACATATATACATACATACATATACCAATGCATTTGGAACATGGACAAATGACATTTGGAAGTAGATATGCATACACATGACACGACCATCGTAACATATCTTTTCTAACATTTGTGTTGTCAGGTACTAAATGTAGATGGAGTTACAGGAGGATTCAATTTCCAGGTGAATATTTTTAGTTATAGCATTGAAATTTCACCTAGATTACTAATATTTTTTACTTTCCTAAATGTATTTTCACACATTAAACGAAACAATAAATACAATTTTAAGTTTCTAGTTTTTATTGTTAAAAACTTGTATTGTGTTATGCAGAATGCTTGGTCAGGTGGATATATCGCAGGCACCAACATCGGCGAATCAGCAAGTAGTAGTAGCAGAAGAAGTTCTAAAGAAAGAAAAGTAGTTATAGGATTGTAGTTTTCTTTATAAGACAAGTACTCTCAATTATGTATGTACTATAATAATTCCTGAGTCAACCCGTATCAACTATCAAAATTAGAACTCACGTCACCCAATCAAGAGTAGAAGCAAAACCTCGTGCACAAGCTCAAAAGGTATCAACTTTGTATCATAAACCATAAAGCAGAGTGTAAGCATTTCAACAAACCATTTTAATCAATCACGGCATCACCCAGAGGGTCTTATATAGAAATAGAACATCGCATTTCCCACAACATACCATTTATTATTGAGTTTACACAAAGGCTATGGTGAAGGTGTTAACAAATGTTCACTATGCTCTGAGTTTGCTAACTTTCTTCTCAAGTTCGTCCTTTTTGGCTCCAATGATCCTTTCAATTTCTTTACCCCTTTTCACCAGCACAAAGGTTGGCATTGCCGTCACATTAAACTCTTTAGCCACATCCTGAAATCATTAGTCATGCAATAAGTTTAAAATTTGTTTATCAATACAAAATCCAATAACAGTGGAAACAGAAGCAGGAAGCTGAAACCTACCATCAACCAAATCTCATCTCATATCAGAATCCGAGTGGTTTGCAGTTGTACTACATACCAAAACCTATCTTCTACTCACGAAATTTGATATCACAAATAACATGGGACTGTGGATCAATCAGAGGGAAAAACGGTCTATTTCCCCACGAGAAGTATCACATCATAACAGATAGAGCCCGTACTTTGATCCCGATCCATATATCCCTAAAATGGAAGTTCTATTCCTATTTCTCCTCGAATCAAAAGTCTTTAATTTAATTGTCCACATACCTTGATTTGATCGGTTTGCAACTGTACCGATAGAAAACCACCTAAACCTGATACTAAACCGAAACTAAATCCGACCCGACTGAAAACCTGACCCAATGTGAACAGTTTTTTTTTTTTTTGGCAACAGCTTTCTTCTTTACATTGGCCAAATACTTGAAAATCTCTACCTATCTAATGACACGATCATGACTTTGACAAATTCTTCATAGTGAATCTGACCATCACCATCAACATCGGCTTCTCGAATCATCTCATCAGCTTCCTCATCATATAGCTTCTCCCCGAGATTTGTCATCACATGTCGAAGCTCTGCTGTAGATATGAAACCAGTCTAGTCTTTATCAAACACCCTAAAAACACTCATCTTCTTCTTCTTCTTCTTCTTCTTCTTCTTCTTCTTAATCACTCTTCTTCTTCTTCTTCAAATTTCAAATACTTGAAATTTGATCTCCGTTCTCTTCTCTCATCATCATTGCTTGAACACATCCTTAAAAAATTGAAACCAACCAAATCTCTAATAAACAACAACAAATCCCCAAAATCTAACACCTCTCATAAAATTCTCAATCCAACTAGTTCTCAAACTCAATTTCCTAAATTTTCAATCCGAAATTTGTATCTGATATATTTAATTCACAACCATGATAATTGGGGAAACGGGTAAAAAATAATCACAAGGCCTCGCGAATCGATCAAGACAACCCGACATGAGGAATCAAAGATCTCCACGAGATTATCCATTGTGAGAATTTGATCCTCTCAACTTTGACCTGAACACTCAAGCAAATCCCCATGATTGATTAGTTTCATAGAGAGACCCAAATTAGTACGACTTCAATC